GCTCGAAGTCTGAACCCTGCCCAGGGTCCTCCACCTCTTCCAGAGCCGACTCATAGGGTCCCTCGCTATCGGAGTCTGTCCGCAGCTCCAACGGCTCCTGCTTGGCCACAACAGGTGGTGTAACTTTGAATGGTCACTAATCGAACTGTTGTAAGTCAAGGACTATCTTTATTAAACAAACCTAAAGGAGACAATGGCTTTATAAGGTGCACAAATCCAGCAGGTATCAAGTACCATATTTTTTTGGAGTATAAGACACACCTTTTTTCCACCCAAAAGAGGGTGAAAATCTGGGTGCATCTTATACATTGAATACAGGACTTTTGGCCTCCTGAAACCCCAACCCCTTTGCAAAAATGGCTGTGCATAGGCTTTGTGAAAGCCTGAAAAGTGCTCCTGGGGGCTGTGGAAGACAAATATGAATGAAAAACGGGCTGGTTTTTTCCCGTTTTTGCCCCCACCCCCACCCCTAGGAGCACTTTGCAGGCCTCTCAAACTCTCAGCATGCCCCATTTTTCACAAAAAAAAATAAGGCATGAGGAGGGTTTGGGAGGCCTGCAGAGTGCAAAAACTTTTTTTTCCCATTTACCTCTTCAAAATCTTGGTGCATCTTATACTCCGGTGTGTCTTATAGTCCAAAAAATACGGTAGCTTATGAGCCAAAAATTGTTGACCAGAAAACTTCTAATGTTTCTTTGCATGTGGAAAAGGGGGAAAAGTGAAATCCAGGAACTGGACTTTTTCTGAAAGGCCCTGTACACTGATGATGTAATACCACTCAGCTAGAATGTACTTTGGTCTCAAGGCAAAGATGCCTGTGCTTGCTTGGCAGAGTTGCAAGTGCAGCCCTGTTGCACAACCCATTGTACTTCACAAGGGCGAGGAGCAACCTTTCAACCAGGATATATGATACAAATACAAGTCAGAAGGATGACAAGGTGAACTCCCTCACTATTCAAGTTTCTGTGCCATCTGAAAAGGCGTCTCATAATTATTATTAGCGGGTAACATTGGTGCTTTGTATGCAGATGTAGAACACATCTATACATAAAGGTCAGTAGATGTGCCAAAGTCTCGGTGGAGCAGTGATACAAGATCAGATCATTCCCTTACTTTCAACTGTTGTCCTTTAATGGTCAGAAACTTTCTAAGTATCTATCGAATTGCAATCTGGTACATTAAAACTAAGGGACACAGTGGCTAAGACACTGAGCTTGCTGATCAGAAAGGTTGGCAGTTCGGCAGTTTGAATCCCTAGCACTCCGTAATAGAGTGAGCTCCTGTTACTTGTTCCAGCTTCTGCCAATCTCGCAGTTCGAAAGCATGTAAAAATGCAAGTAGAAAAATAGGGATCACCTTTGGTGAGAAGGTAACAGTATTCCGTGCGCCTTCGGCATTTAGTCATGCCGGCCACATGACCACGGAGACATCTTCAGACAGCACTGGCTCTTCAGCTTTGAAACGTAGATGAGCATTGCCCCCTAGAGTCGGGAATGACTAGCACATATATGCGAGGGGAATCTTTATCTTATATTAAAACTTCTAGAAAAGGACAGAGAATTCCCTCCATTCTTGTTATTCTGTTCTACTATTTTGTTATTCCCATCCTTGGGAATCAGAATATTATTTTGATAAGATGCGTTATCAACAGGAAGGATCACCACCTACACATTCAAATATCATTGCAAAGTTCCTCCCTGTTATCTTTGCTATTTCTGCACGCATAGACCTCCTTCTCTTTAATTAAGTTGTTCTTGAATTAAGACTCCCTCACGTCAAGCTTGACTTCCAACCATCAATCTTGGCAATAACACAGAAGTGATTTCTTACTGCTTTTTCTAGGATATTGTTTTTTCTACTTTGGTGGTCTCTCGTCCAAGCTGATGAGATGAACTCTGATCTTGCCTAAGATTTTTAAGAGCAGCCAAGGTCAACTGGTGACATCTGGACTAGGATCAGAGAGATCCTGTTTCAAGTCCATCATTAATCCATTGTAACTCACTGGGTAATTGGGATCAATCATTTTTTCTCAACCCAGCCAATTTAATAGGGTTAAAATTCCTGTATAAACTGCTTTGAGCTCTTGATGAAAGTTGCATAACTATATATATATAAAAGCCAAATAACACTTATACAGCATAATGAAATCTCCAGAACTGTAAAGCCCACAAACTTGAAATTTGGCATGTATGTTCCTCTTGGCTTCTAGGTGCTCGCTAAGAAAGGATTTTTCAAAATGACCATCAGATCATTAGTATTTTTATATGATTAATATGCTCTGATGCTAAGTAGTTAGACATTCTACTCCCCCTCCCCATCTGAAAAAAAACTCTGTTCCAACTGCCACTTGGGTGTGGCCGTGGCCAGGGTGGGACGCATCCGGCCTGTAGACTGGCAGTTTACACATTTTAGTCCCTCTCCACACCTGAAAAATGCTCTGATGCTAAGGAGTTAGACTGAGGTAGAGAAGGGGATAGGAGAGGATCAATGGGGCCAGCCTGAGGGAGAGAAAGGGAGAGAAGCTGGAGTATCCAGCTAGTCCAGTAAATAAATAAATCCACCAGAAGCTATGTTAGTACAACCAGATCTATTTAATGTCTACAAATGCATCATCTACCAAGATTGATTAATCTTTTTCTATGTTTCATTCTTGATCAGTTTCATTCCTAATTAGTGTTTTTTCTGTGTGCAGGTAGACCTCAATTTGCAACAGTTTGTTTGGTGACTGTTGAAAATTACAGTGGCACTGAAAAATGTGACTTATGACAATTTTTTACACTTACAACCTTTGCAGCATCCCTCTGGTCACGTGATCAAAATTCAGATGCTTAGCAACTGACTCATATTTATGACAGCTGCAGTGTCCCTGGTCATGTGATCACTTTTTGTGACTTTCTGACAAGCATAGTCAATGGGAAAACCAGATTCACTTAACAACCATCTTACTTTCTTATCAACTACAGTGCTTCCCTTAACACCCATGGCAAGAAAAGCCATAAAATGTGGCAAAACTCTCTTTAAAAAACCCTTTTTATTGGGCTAACGTGAATTCCTAGCATTCACATACAGAAAAGTCCTGGCAAGCCGTCTTTCAAAGGTGAATTGCAAACACAGACCTTATCAATCCTTGGATAGTTGCGCAACACTGTACAATGAAATATTTGGCAAGGAGTCTGTGTGAGGCACCGATTCAGATAAGCAAATCTTCACACTAATACACAAATTAATGGTCTCCTGCAAATACTACTCCACTTTTGCTCCTATTTATTACCCGTGGGAGGGGCCATTCAGTGTACTCCCGCGTTGACTCGTTCCCTAATTGTTCCCTTCTCCTGGTAGCTCTGCACATGCGCACATTGGGAACAGGCTTCAGCTGTTCTTCTGCCCCACTTATCTCCGACTCCGAAGGTAGCTGATAACTGTCAGATGGCCCTGGCCCCCTCTCTGCCTCCGATGCAGAGCACTCATCACAGCCTTCCCCAGACGCCAGGACTGGCCCATGTTCCTCCCCAATCTCACAACACAAACAAAGCCCCAGCCACGGGATTCAGGCAGCATGCGAAACCACGCCGCCTCCAGTCCACGGAAAAACCAATTCTTAATGACCCAAAGATTGGGGGACACTGATCTAGACATATCTCCAGATTGCTGGGACCCCCAGGCCTGATGCCATAACCAGGTCTTGAGGGACTTCAACAAGGACAGAGCTAATCTAATTTTAACTAGAAGAATATCCCATAAGGCAGATGCCACCAGAGAGAAGACCTGCTGCCTGGGTTCCACCAAATGTACATTATGTTCCTAACTGATGGTACTTGCATGTGCCAGGTCTAATGGGGTGGGGGCTGATGTAATTGGGGAGGGCCGGTCCCACTCTGAGCTGATTGAGAAGGACACTAGGGTCAATTGTTGTATTTTAGACAGTCATATAATCTATAAACTGAATAAAATACAACTGATATTCTACTTTTGCTCCAGGATAAACTCCAAGCACATAAAACATCTAGAACAGATGCCGCTTTCATTTCTTAATATCTTCCCCCCAAATTCTTTACTTTCTTCCTCAGTAACTCCAGTACCAATAGATCAACAATTCAAACTTCTCAGAAAACAACTGGAGGATCAGGGGATAATGCTTTCCCATGTTCCATGTCATACCTTTTAGACCCCGTAATCAAATGTAGCTTCATCCACATCAGAGGTGGTATTCTACCGGTTCTGACCGGATCACCCAAACGAGTAGCAGAAATTGCGGGTGGCTCTGCCCACTCACGCCTGGCTCAATGACATCCCATTTAGGCCATTTTTTTTCGCCGAAAGTGCATGTGTAGATGGATCTGCGCGTGTGAGGAGGTGGCGCCTGCGCTCACATTTGCGAATTGGTATGGTGAGTGTGGAAGGTAAGTGTATGCCATCCCTGATCCACACCTGCAGAGTTTTTGGATTTTATCACAGCACCTGGAACTCATGGAGAAAGACTTTCAGTTTTCTCCTCACTAATAATATATGAAAAAAAGAAGGGCTGGAAGCCAGTCTGGTTGAAAAACAGAAGATCCAGTTATTCCAGATCATCAGAGATACCTGAAAATTCAGCATCCTATTTTTAAGGGGTCAGTTAGATACCTCCAGGAAACTTAACAGCCGGATTCCTCAAAAGAAGATTTCAACTATCAAGATCTGCCTAGGATTGCCACATATTTATTTAATCAGCTTTTCAAAACTTTTCAGCGTTTCAGAACCATGAAGCACAATAATTTGATAGGGTTCTGTGAGACACTAAAGGGAAAAAAACATAGATTTCTTTCTTGATCAGGATTTAAATTAGATAATCACACTCTACAACATGAAAAGTTTGAAACCAAACCATGGTTTGTTGAATAAACACAGCTGGCTGGATCTGCATACACACAATGCCATATACCAGCAACCCACGATGGTTTAGTATGTTCTGTGAATCTGGCCAGTATACAGAATTATATCCCTCTAAATAGTGGAAAAGTCTACTAAGAAAAGTTTTCAATTTTTAGCATGCTTTCAAACAGAGGCTGGATAAGGAACTGAAAGGTCAACTGTAGTTGTAATGATTTAAAAAAAAACATTCATAGCAGATATCTAAGATATCCTTTGATTTTGCAATTTACAGTAGAGCAAAATCCATCTATGGTAATAATTGGCACTATGCAACTGGTACCAGAAGTACAAAGCCCTTGATATTGATAATGTGATAACCCTTTGGACTTATAACTAAGGATAGCCACATCTTCTGTATACCGTATCTACCACTGGATACAAGGCTGCTCCAGCCAAACGTGGCTATTGTGGCTGCCTTTGCAGAAGGCAGACTCTCCTTTTCCACTTCAGAAATAAAGTCAGATCATTTGGTCTGCAGAGGCCCCCTTTAAGATACAGAAAGCGAAGCAGCATACTCCGGAAAAGCTAAGCTTGTTGATCAGAAGGTTGGCAGTTCAGCAGTTCAAACCCCTAGTATAGGTCTCCTGTGGGAGCAGGGGGTTGGACTAGATGACCTCCAACATCCCTTCCAACTCTGTTACTATTAAATTTGTCCCTTCCAATCCTGTTACTGTTAAATTAATTACACTGGGGGAAGGCACTTTTCATATGCCCAGCAATGCTTTTCTTATGCATGCAGTAGAGTAGAGGATATAAAAACACACACACACACACACACACTTCTGCTTTAATACAGAGGTTGGACTAGATGACCTTCAAGGTCCCCTCCAACCCTGTTACTGTTAAATTAATTACACTGGGGGAAGGCACTCTTCATATGCTCAGCAATGCTTTTCTTATGCATGCAGTAGAGTAGAGGATATAAACACACACACACACACACACACACACACTCTTCTGCTTTAAGAGGTTGGACTAGATGACCTCCAAGGTTCCTTCCAACTCTGTTAGTTAAATTAGTTACAGGGGGGGAGGGACTCTTCATATGCTCAGCAATGCTTTTCTCATGCATGCACTAGACTAGAAGATATAAACACTTTCTCTCTTTCCTGCTTTAATTACAGAGGTTGGACTAAATGACCTCTAAGGTCCGTTCCAACCCAGTTACTGTTAAATTAATTACACCGGAGGAAGGCACTCTTCATATGCTCAGCAATGCTTTTCTCATGCATGCACTAAACTAGAAGATATAAACTCTCTCTCTTCTGTCTTAATACAGAGGTTGGACTAGATGGCCTCCAAGGTCCCTTCCAACTCTGTTACTGTTAAATTAATTACACCCAGAGAAGGCACTCTTCATATGCTCAGCAATGCTTTTCTCATGCATGCACTGGACTAAAAGATATAAACAATACACCACCCACCCATCCACTCTCATGCTTTAATACAGAGGTTGGGCTTCTACCGGTCGCCTAAAGGAACCCGAGGTTGTGCCCGCCCGCCCCCAGGCAATCTGCACATGCTTCGAATACTCTTCTTCTTCACCCAAGCGGGAGGAGCGCAAACGGTTTGTTGACCCAGTCCGGGAGGTATTATTTTTTTCACCCCCCTGTCCGATGTCATTTCCCGGGGTGAGAACGGAGCAGCAGCAGCAGCCCCCATTCCTCCAGATGACACCCGGTTTGCGGAACGCTGCCGGCCCCTCCGCTGGAGGCGGCCGCGGAATTCATCCCAGCTTCCTCCCGCTCGCCTCCGCCGCCCGCCGGACCCTCCTTCCGCCCGACTCCCTCGGTCCCCGCTCCCCATGACGTGGCGTTTGCAACCCCCCGCGCCTTCGGAGGAGCACCTGCACGAGCTGGAAGCCGTCCTGCAGCTCCCCCCAGTCCCGGAGGCAGTCGGCGACCGAGGGCCAGCGGTCCATGGCGAACTGTGTCGGAGACCGGCGGTGGGCAACCCCTTTTTTTCCGACGCGCCTTCCCGCAGAGCGGGGGCGGAGTGGAGAAAGAGGCGGGAGCGACGCTTCCCGAAGGACGCTCCGGCCAATCCGACGGGGATCTTGGGGAGCCGCCCGCTGAGGGTCCGGCCAATGAGCGCCGAGGCGAAGCCGGCGGGCGGGCGGAGTGTGAAGGACGGCTGGGAGGGCAGGAGGTCGAGGAGGGAAAAGAGAGCAAAGGCTGTGCTGTTCCTCCCCTCCCCCCCGCAAAAGAACACAGAATAATAATAAGAGTTGATGGGACCCTGGAGGTCTTCTAGTCCAACCCCCTGCTCGAGCAGGAGTCTCTAGAGCAGTGTTTCCCAACCTTTTGGCAACTTGAAGATGTCCAGACTTCAACTCCCAGAATTCCCCAGCCATCTGGCTGGGGAATTTCCCATCTGGCTGGGGAATTCTGGGAGTTGAAGTCTGGACATCTTCAAGTTGCCAAAGGTTGGGAAACACTGCTCTATGCCATTTCAGACAAATGGCTGTCCGATATGTTTTATTCTGTCTTCAAATGTCTCTCTGAGAGATGTAAGGGAAGAAGAGAGGGAGAGGAGAGAGGGCAAGGGGGGGGGAGAGGAGGAGAGAAAGGAGGAGTGGAAAGGGGAGAGAGGAGAAGGAGAGGAAGGGGAAGTAAAGAAGGACGACAGAGGGAAGAAAGGAGGTAGGGAGGAGGAGGAGAGAGGGAGAAGAAAGTGAAGGATAGGGTAGAAATACAGTGTATGGAGAGCAGAAGAGCCAATAATCATCTTTGGGAGTTGATGGTAAGATGAATTGGTGTAAACATTTAACAATGTAATATAATGTTGGTTATGTAATAGTGTACATGTGGTTATTTGCTATGAAAATTGAAAAATAAAAAACTTTTATTAAAAAAAGTCTCTCAGGGAACTAACCGCTGATCTTCAGAGTGCTAACGACCAGATGACTGCAACAATCCTACCATTCCTCACCTGTCGGTTAGAACTGAAGAAGCTTCTTGGATGAGAAGCAAAACATTTTCAAAAGGAAAAAAAAACAAGAAAGTCAACTCTTATTTTCCAAAGCACCTGGAAACAAAACAAGAAGCAAGGGATGGAATCTAAACAAGGAGAGAAGCAACCCAGAACTAACAGTGACAACAATTCATCAGAGTTGGCTCCAGAAGTTGTGGGTGCTCCATAAGGGAGGCTTTTAAGAGGAGATTGGATAACCATTTGTCTGAAATGGTATATTGTCTCCTGCCTGAGCAGGGTTGGACTAGAAGACCTCCAAGGTCCCTCCCAACTCGGTAACTCTGTTTAAAAATGTCTTCTTGAAAGCCTCCTGTGATAGAGCACCCACAATTTCTGAAGGCAAGTCGTTCTTCTTGGTTCATTCCTCTCACTCTTTGGAAATTTCTTAGTTCTAGGCTGCTTTTCTCCCTGGTTTGCTTCTAACTATTTCTTGTGGTTTTGGGGCTTTGGAAAATAGTTTGAGCACCTCGTCTTGTAGAAGCCCCTCAAATATTGGAACACTATCATGTCCTTCTGTGAGACTAAACACATCCAATTCCTGTCACCGTTCATGGTATGATTTAGCCTCCAGTCCTATAATCATTTTTGTTGCTCTTCTCTGCACTCTTTCCAGAGATTGTATGTCAAGCAGTAGGATGTCAGATACCGGTGAAGCCGTACCGACATGGTGGCCTAACTATCCTGCTAAGCTAAGGTTTATGTAGGTATGATTTGTCACATAAGCACCCATTGGCTGGGTCTGTATAAAAGATACTCTCACCAGATCTAGCTCAGTTACCAGAGAGTTCATGGACTGCCTGCTTGGCAATAAGAGTTTTGCTCCTTCTTTCTTTCCGGAATCTTTTTTGACTTCCAAATTTGGATCTCTGTGATTTTTTACACTTGTCTCCCATTCAATTGTAACCTGATCTGACCCTTTCCAGATCAGGCAAGCAACAAACCAGACGATTATTATCTATGTCACCAGAGTTTGAAGTCACGTTAAGTGTTTACATTATTGGCGGAAATTGTGGCGAGAACTCTCTGCAAACAACTACCTCTTATTCTTTAATTTTTTTTTAAACAACCATTTTTTTAATGGTCCAGGGTGATTTGCTTCTTGCCACAGCTGTTTTTTGCTGCAACGTTTGTAACTTGTCTTTAGTTCCCTTCGGATGTAAACAACAAGTTTCCATCACAACAGGGCGAGAGCTGCTGGAGCAGGTGGCATAATTGCAGGAGGCATTTTGAGTTTTGTGCAATTTGCTGCGTAGTTCTTTGGGTGGAATGGGGGGAGATTCTAAGGGCCAAAAACAAGTTTGAGAGCCCCGTGCAATCTGCAGACTGTCAGTTATTGCTTAGGAAATTGCCAGTCTATTTCCTCTAGCCGGGTTCTTCATAATAAAGCAATAATGCAGCACATGATTATGTCCTTGATATGTTATTAGATCCATGTGGGTCATTACCCCTGCTGCCAGCTGACTGGCAAGCTTCACCGGCATCATGCTATTGGCTGACGGTTCCATACATGCATTTTGCTTTTTCTGAACGCTAATCCTGATTGTTGCTGAGCTGAGATCATGACTTTGCTTAGTTCTTTGGCACTAAGAACCAGAGAAGTCTTTCAACCACCATTGTCCCAAGGCACATACAGGACTATTAAGATGTTACTGGTGTGTCAGGCAAAGGAAAATATGACCTCCTTGCTCAGAGCTTGGGTCACGTGGATTGTCAGGGATTATTCAAGTAGTTTGCTTATGTAGGATTCCCCTTCATTTCTAATATATCTGTGTGAGATTTCTGGCTTTTCTCCTGAGGCAATCATATTCTACAAGACTCCCCTGTAGGGCAAGGGTGTCAAACTCAAGGCCTGCCGGTTCGCCCCAGTTCTGCGCATGTGCAGAAGCGCAACGCACATGCGCTCCCGGTTCCGAATCAGTAGCAAAGGTAAGAGGATTTCATGCCTGGGTGGGAACTGAGCAATGAGAGCCTCCCTCAGGGTCTCATACCAAGTGGCAAAGCCAAGTTTTAATATTCTTCTGGAAGGCCAAGCATTTCTCACCTCTGGTGATACAGTGTTCCATAGGGATGGGCTACAGCTTTTCTTGATCTGTAGCTGCAAACAGAGATTTTTAGTGGAAGCATCTTGATTGAGGAATAGCATTTTGGATGCCTGGAAGTTTATTCTATATAATACCTTTCTGACCTCGACAAACAAGCTCATGAAAAGTAAAAACATAATGAAGTGTCTGTTAGTGTGTGAGACAGACGATAAAGTCAGCAATAGTGCAACAATGGAAGGTAACGTTTTCTTTCAACAGTTTCTGAAAAATAAATGTGGGTTTCCTTCTCCTTTTTCCGCCCCACTAACTCACAATAAACAGCGCTACTGATCAGTAATTTGGTTCTGAAATGTCAGTGATGGCAGTTATATAGAATTTTTGTTCCCAATCTGACAGCTGCTGCACAAATGCTCGATTGGGCCGTATGTTATTTTTACATTTCTGGACATGCTTCCAGGCGTTCTGTGAAGAAAGGTATAAAATGCAAAGGTCAGAAGGAGGGAAAATATTTGAAAAAAGCCTCAAGCATCTTGGCGGAACAGAAGACTTGCATTGAATTCTGTGTTCCTAGAGCAGGGGTCCCTAAACGTGGCAACTTTAAGACTTGTGGACTTCAGCTCCCAGAATTCTCCAGCCAGCTATGCTGGCTGGAGAATTCTGAGAGTTGAAGTTCACAAGTCTTAAAGTTGCCAAGTTTGAAGACCTCTATCCTAGAGTCCCAGCCATCTAAACCATAATCAGGGAAGGGATCTCTGTGACTTCATGGAGGAATACATGCTTCATGTGCCAAAACCCTAAGTTCAGTTCTTGATACATGAGTTGAAACTTCACCGCTTTTTATGCATATACAGTAACACAACAGTCTGGTCACCTAACAAAAAGAATTGATGGCAGGTGGACCAAGGCAGTCATAGAATGAATCCCACTTGATAAAAAGGGTCCATGAAAGAGACTGATTGACAACATTACCAAGTATTGCAGGCCCAATTGGCAAAAGAAAGCTCAGGACAGTATTGGTTGGAAATATAGAGAAGAGGCCTTCATCCTGCAGCAGATTGACAATGGCTTAAAAGGATGATGATGATGATGACAGTATACATTAAAATATGCAGGGCTTCAGCCATGTGCACCATGTTGTTTTTGTTGACTGCTCCTGAAGATACCCTTGGAATAGTGGTGGGTTGCAGGCAGT